TTGTATTTTCATTACTGGAAATAACCGTATTTTTATGGGGAGTTATTTTCTGTCATTTCACGGTCGTATTTTGGCGCCCCAGCTGCCGGAATATTACCGTTGTTTTAGGATGTTTTTTTTAACAGTGTAGTTTTTGGCACTTGTGCATAAGCCTCACCTAGCTCCAGAGAGCTAGCTCCAGCTCCAGAGAGTACAGCTGTGATATTACACAGAAGAGAGAACACCCACTACTTTTTCTGTCTATATCTATATGTACTGCATGCCATCCATCTATTTCAGTTTTTCCTTATCTGCTTCATGGATAAAATATCTACCCTAGACCCATTGTGAGACAAATTTTTAATTTTGGCATTTATAAATGAAATTAGCTACACTTTATGTAGAGACACAGTTTAAAAGATAAACACTAAACACAAGGATTTAGCAAGCAAGAAAGGCAGAGGTCAGTTAGTTGAATTATGGGAAATATATGTCCCTATAGGCTGTTTCTGGAGTTTGGGAGAGAAGGGGCTAACATAGTTCACTGTCTGCGGCTTTCATTTTGCTCATTGTAAGTCTTTCTCTTGCATGTGTAATAACTTTGTGGAATTGCTAACCTTGTTTCATCAACTCATTAACACAGAGTATTTTTTAACCCCATATCACTGGTTTCCAACTTTTGAAAGAAATGAAAAATATGTACTTATGCACCATAGCAAGTTGTGCCCAACAGATCAATCAGAATTGAAAGAAAAAATTCAGAAGAAAAATTAAACATAGTTTTGTTTTGTTTTTTATCCTTTAAATGTTAGAGCAAACTTTAGTATTAAGGCTCCAAAGGTGGGAAGCACTCCCTGTACATAAGTTCAAAAACGGAGTTCATGGATCCACATACCCAGATTTGAATATGAGGGTGCCTTGTTGCCAGAGCCGCACCAGAGAGTCCCGGGTACAATAAAACCGCGCTTTACACGCTTATGTATGCTGACCTCTGACCTCTCATCTTGACCTTGAACAAGAACACTCCTCACCGACCTCTTTCCTGTGGGTTCCCCGAGAGACGCCAGGGAGACGCACAGCCCTTCTGTCTCTAACACGGAGTCCAAATGGACATTTTCATTCGGATGCTCTGAAAAGCCCCGCGCGCGCTCCCGGCACAGAGACAAATAGTTCTGGGTCACCGCTGTGTCGTCGCTCCAAGTGCAGCCAAGCAGAGCGCGCTCTCCGGACCAGGCGGTGTGGTACAGCCGCAGAGATGGAGGGGTCTGCTGCGGGTCGCTACGGAGAAAACTGTAGTGCATTTCTCCGTTAGCAGAAACTTTAGTCCACGTGCAGAGAACCGAGGCTGCTGCTGCGGTGCAGCTCAGGAGTGATGATATGCAGATGAGAGTAACAAGTGGAGCGATGCGCATCATGGTGGCGGCGGGTCGAGGAGGAAAGCAGCTGAAGGAAACAGGCTGGGAGACGGTTTCACTTCAGTATTGTTGTTTCACGCTCTGAGGACTTACGGACAGATCGACAGACTCCGGGTCGATTTTAAATGAGAAGAGGAGGAGGAGGGTGGTAGAGGAGGAGGAGGGTGCTCGGGTGATCCGGTGGTACTAAAATAAACACAATATCCAAACCACCCATGTGACCTGTTAGCATAGCCAAACACTTTACTCCCGCCCCCACACAGCCACGCAAGGACACACACACACACACTCTATCTGTCCCACATCACAGACAGTGACCATGATACACACTATTGACAACACCCACCAAACCCACCCAGACACATACCCACAGGCAGCACGCTGCTACCAATCTACAAATGTATCTTTAAAAGTGATAGACACTCCCCAAATACACATTCTGACAACCTTATCAGTGTTTACTGACTGACAGATGGAAATCTCTTGGAACTCCTGGGAGATTTGCTTTTATATTCAGTCCTTTCTCACTTTCTCCAACCTATGTCAAGACAGAAACTTTTAAACCATAATCCAAAAGCAAGCAGGCTTTTGGATTATGGACCTTTTACTACTATTTCTCAATCTTTTTTTTTAATTGACCTAAAGTGAAGCACTGCCCTCTTATGATCTCTAATCACAGGTTATGTCATTAGTGTTAGGTACACTAGGCTGGTGCCAGATTCTGTTGTGCTTTTAATCCTTTATGGGATAAATTCAACAAGCTGTTAGAAATATTCCTCAAAGATTTTGCTCCATGTTGACAGGAGCTGTCAATTACACATCCATGATGTAACTCTAGTTCAACCACATCCCAAAGGGGCTCTGTTGGTTTGAGATGTAGTAACAGTGGGGACCATCTGAATACAGTGAACTCATTGTCAAGAAACCAGTGTCAGAAGATTTGAGCTTTGTAATGCAGAGCGTTATCTGGCTGGAAGCAACTATCAGAAGATGTATGGTTATGAAGGTCCCCAACAACACTGAGTAGTTAGGCTGAGAAGTTTAAATGGTACTCAGTTTATACTAAGGGGTCCAAAGCATGACAAGAAAAAAACTCTTTTGATAATTTGATGCAAACTGTAGCCTCGGATTCCTGTTCTTAGTTGGCAGAAGCGTCACCTAGTGTGGTCTTCTGCTGCTGTAGCCCTTCTGATTCAAGGTTGAATGTGCTACGCATTCAGAGATACTCTTCTATATACTTTGGCTGTAATGACTGGTTATTTCAGTTACTGCTGCCTCTCTCTCAGCTTGAAGCAGCCCGTCCATTCTTCTCTGTCCGCTGGCATCAACAAGGTGAGAACTGCTGTTCAGTGGATATTTTGGGAGAGATGGTTGAATAGGAAAACCCCAATAGAACAGGATCTGAAATATTCAGAGCTGCCTGTTTGGCACAGACCAACAAGCATGCTTTGTTCAAAATCACTGAAATCACCTATTCTGATGCTCAGTTATAACTTCAGCAGTCTTGACCATGTCTACATGCAAAATGCACTGAGTTTCTTCCATGGGATCTGCAGGTTACATATTTGTGTTAATGAGGAGTTAAGCAGCTGTACCTAATGATGTGGCCACTAACTGTATTGCAGTGAGCAGCTCAACCAGGCAGACTGTTCTCTTCAAGTGTGCCTAAAATAGTATTTGAGTGTTGACATATAATCTGTAATCTTATATAATCCGTGGACCCAGAAACATCCTCACCTACAGAAGAGACTTGAACTAAAAAAAATGAAAGACCACAGATGGTGTTTTGTGTCCATTTGACCTTTTTTTTCCACTCCGCTTGTCTCGTTCCAGGGTCATTTTGTCTTTTTTAGCAGCTTTTATTTTATTTTTCAATGACTGCCACTCTCTGTAGTCCTTTTACATCTTGTTTTTGCAAGCTTGCATACTTATGCTACATTGCTCTCTTTCTTATGATTTTTTTTGTTCTTTTTTGTGGTTGTTTTGTTTGTAGTCATTGAGTCTCCCCTTGGGATTTGTGTCTTTTTAACCTCTCATTATAGTAGGTTTCCTCTATTTTATTGTAATTTCACCTCTCTTTTGGTGATTTTGTTTACTGTTGTGGTCATCTTTTTTCCCTTTTCTCTTTTTCTGTTCTCTGTTTGCTTCTTTTATTACCAGGTCATTTGTCTTTATCCCTTCTTGTGATTTTTGTGTCATTTTGTGTCACTTAGTAGCCATTTTGCATTTTTATAGCCATTTTATTACATCATTATTGTCTCTCGTGTGTTTCTCCTGTGGTTGTTTTGCTTATCTTTATATATTCATTTAGTCTCCTTATCTTTTTGTTGTAATGGTCTGCAATGTTTTTGTGTGTTGACATTTTTTGCTCTTGGTTTTTGTGTTTGCATTTTTTTTTTCTAGAGTCAGTAAAGTGTTCATTGCCATTATATAGTTTGATGCAGACCTTTGCAGAGTTTCACGGCTTAATTCTACACAGCCTTTTGCTCTGTCTGAAGGTCTTGGAGTTGAAATGTAAATATTGGAGTTCTTGCCAGGCCTATCTTTTCAGCAGTGGTAGAACCTTTCTGATAACATCAAAAGTGAGATCATAGCTCGTAGATCATTCAAGATCAGACTTTTTTAGAGTGTAATGAGTCTATAAACTTTCCCCCAGTTGGACAGAAGAAGTTTTATCAGGAGAAGTCAAAGTTCACAAATTTTTCAGCTGCGTGTCTGTCTGAGCTGATTGGTTTGAACCTCACCTGATTCAGACAAAGTTTATGCCATGTCATACACAACAAATGCCGAGCAAGTTTCATCAGGTCTTTATTTATTAGCCATGTGTTGCTACAGACATGCACCAATATCAGTACAGACAGGACAATGTTGAATACGTAACTGAAAACAACCTGCAAATGTATATAAGATATACCTGTGGAGCAATATTTCATCATGTTCCAAAAACAGAACTTCCGGTGACCAGATATTCCACTTCATGTGAGACTGGACATAAAGTGGAACCCTTACTTAAATCCCTTAACTCCCTCCTCCTATATATTCATATATTTAGACAATGTCACACATTTTAATTAGTTCTATTAGTTCTTGTTTACCAAACTCATCTCCTAAAAGTCTCACAAAAAATAAAACAAGAAAAATGATCAATAATAGATTTGCCAGTATATATGGATGAACACCTTTTCAACTCCAAAGATGATACCAGACAGAACAGTGTTGTCCGTTTAAATATTCTGAACAACTGAACATGTGGTATAACCCTTAGTAATTCTTTGGGTTCAAATTCACACAGGCCACATTGTGCCTTTTCCCCACATTTAGTTTCCTAAGATCTGGTCAACCTAACAGCCACTGCATAATTAAACTTGTTTTTGAAATAATCATTATTATAATTTCATGCAGAAACATTTTAGGTTGTTGAATACTCCCCACATGCATGGAAGAAGGTGATGTAGCGACCATGAAGATATGGAAAACAGTATGTTATCTGCATGTCACATTAACAGCAAAACAAATGATTGTTCACTGCAGTGCCTAACGTAATATTTAACAGATGCATAAAGCAGAATAAATATGTACTACAACACATGAAAATAAAAACATAACACCCATACCCAAACAATATGGAAAATCAGATGATAACACATGACCTTAGGTGACATGGATACATATCAATATCAGTACGTGTAAGTTCTGTAGATACTCTTTTTGGTCATTTGTAGACCAAAATAAAATCAATCAATCAGTCAAAACACAGAGAAAATGGGTGAGAGATAGAAAACTGGAAATACCCCTTTCTAGGTCTGAGTAGAGGCGCACTTCATTACAACATGCCGACTTGATGACGAAAATAAAGGGCTGTTATCTTGTCCATAAAACACGATAATCAGTTCAAACCTTACTGCATGTCAGAAGATTTGTTTATAGTCTTATACAGTTTATGATATGACAAACTCCTTTTGACAAAAAGCATAAAGGTCAACATCCATGTTGGTCACAAAAAACAATAGTGCTTAAAATGAAGCTTTCATATAGCATTTTGCAGCAAACTACATTGAAAGCAAGAGTACATTATTTGTCTACCTGCATTCATGGAAGACAATATTTTACAGAGAGATATGGAGAAAAAAATACAGAGAAGAGTTGAAGGTTTCAACTTTCAATCCTCAAACTGAGTGGTGTTGTCATTTAGAAGAACATGCCAACGCTCAATCTTCTTGTCTTTATTCTTGAGGCATTCATACCAGTGCTTTAAACACTCTCCTTTAGCCTGGATGCCTAACTGACAGCCACCTAAAAGTAGAAAGGAAACCATTATAAGGTGAAAGGTGAATATTTGTCTATTTCATTATGTACAAGCTTATTTCTAAATTTATAATACTTGCAGTGGCAGCATGTTCACATCTGAGGGTTCCTAAAACAAGGCTACGCTTTAGAATTGTGTAGTGGTCAAACTGTGCTAAGATCAGTCAATGGTTTTCTGATAATTGGCCAACTTCTATATAAATTGCCTGGACAGAAAAATGAAAATCTTTGTGACACTAATAAGTCTAATAATGCACAACATTAGGAGCTTACAGAATTGACTGCATGTAAAAGACAGACACAGATACGTGGTCTTATAAGTGAAACCTATGCAAGAAGGGCTTCAAATCTTTGTCTTTGAACTCGCCAGCAAGGGGGTTCTCTGGTAGGAATAAAAGTGATGGTTATATATGTCTGTGGGCAAACAATTCTCAGCAGTTCCAAGTGAGTTCATGGCTTTTAATACTGGTTTCAAGTCATACTAACTACAACATTAAGTTCTTTTTATAGTTTATGGTACTTATTAGAGTCAGAAAAGAGGATAAACCAGAGCATTTTTATTAGCTAACATCCTGCGATTGACTAGTCATTAGAACACTCAGATCCACCCCTCACTTTCAACATCCAAAACACCATGGTGATGGCAGTTACAACAGCCAGATTGTGGCTTCATGACTGGACTTAACTAACAAATACATGATACAACAGTGGCTACATCAATACAGTAGTGTAACAAGTGTGTGCCCCCTTCCTGATGTTTTTCATATTTGTTGCACTA